GCATTAATCCCGCCGTCCTTTTTTAGGATGCACTTTTTCGTTATTTGAAGTCCTTCTCTGGCTCATGCCAGAGGCCGCAATATAGCCCGGTCGTAAATATGGTCTAATGGCTGAACGCGGTTTCTGGGACCTCTCCACGGTGATCCTCATCCTTATGTTGTGTCATCGGGTGTTTATTGCTTGTGTGATGTCCTGGTGGGGTAGAAAATCAGTCAGTCAGCACAGCACAGTACACAGGCTCTGTAGCACCAGCGAGGATCCTGAAATACTTTGGATAGATTTTGAACTCTCAATTTTGCCCGGGCAGCGCTGTTAGGCTACTATTTTTTTTCGATATCCAACTGCCAAGGTATTTTTTAAATATGCGCAACAATGCACACGGGCGTCCGATCTCACTACCCAGAGACCAGGGGTAATTACTAGAAGTATACGTTCACGGGAAAAAAATCCCAGCCCTTACCAGTGATTGAACCCGAAACCCATTGGCACTCGAGGCATGCACCATGCTTCGAGACCACTGACTGACTGACTTTCTACCCCACCAGGACATCACACAAGCGATAAACACCCGTTGATACAAAGTGCCACCATGTGGATGAGGATCGCCGTGGAGAGGTCCCAGAAACCGCGTTCAGACAATTGGCCATGTTTATGGCCTGCCTATATCGCGGCCCCTGGCAAAAACCAGAGTGGGGCTTCAAATAAAAAAAAAATTTCGTCCTTAAAAGGACGGAATACATAATAATACAATCGAGACCACGCAGCCCCATAGACATTCTCAAGAAGGCTTGTTTACAGTATCAGCAATCACGAAAAGTCCTAACGTTAGATATTTTGGGAGTTTATGCTTCAATAAGCACCCAGATTAAAACAAGGCAAAGACGAAAAAAAATAATTTCAGCAGACGAAGAAGGAAGTGGAGGAGAATGAAGAGAAGACTTGATTGGAAAACTCGTTTGAGGTTTCATGAAACCTTTTGTAGAAGGGACATAATGAAAACAAAGAGTTCGCTTAGATGCGTTTGTTTATTATGTTATGTCCCTTTGTGTTAGTCTTGTTGATGAAAGAAAAAATAGACCACGTTCAATTAGTCTTCCCTCGAGGTGTGGAGCTTTAGGTTATATTATGACCTGCATCATTTGCGCCATATTCATAGCTTTAAAATGCTCGCCACCTAGACTCCCTGAAAATGAATCTTGCAGTGTTGATACGATGACCCAACCACTTTTCTTGCCGACCAGTAGATCCTCTGTCCTGTAAATAAATATTGAAGTTTCGTCCTTTTCAGGACGAATTTTTTTGTTATTTGAAGCCCCACCCTGGCTTTTGACAGGGGCCGCAATATAGGCAGACCATCAATATGACCAATTGTCTGAACACGGTTTCTAGGACCTCTCCACGGCGATCCTCATCCGCATTGTGGCACTTTGTGTCATCGGGTGTTTATCGCTTGTGTGATGTCCTGGTGGGGTAGAAAGTCAGTCAGTCAGTCCTCTGTCCTTAGTCTCCTTCACCACTCTTTCCCTCTGACTTTCCTGTTGTCACTGTGCATTATAGTTTCTTTTTCTTATCTCTTGTCAAACTAACGTCTTATACATTTGATACGAGCTGTCAGTTCTCTTCATGAATTAAATTCTGACAGGACAGCTTCATGTTTTCTCATAGTGACAGCCATGTTTCGCTCTGATTCCAGTAGTGTTTATAAATATATTTCCCCGTGTGAGTTCTTGGGCCCATTGTGGGTAAAAAAATAGACATCCCCTCCCCTCTTCTAACAAGCACGCCTAAAATGTGACTGACTAAGCGTGTTTCATTCGAAATCGGAGTGCATATGTATGAGGGGTGAGGAACCAACAGTCTGTATACGAATAAGCCAGATCTGTAAAACGGATGTACACGGAAAACTTAGGTTCTGGAACAAGACGAAGGTCCAGAAGCGGATGAACTGGTAGAGTTTTGCGCCAGAATTTATAGTCACTGTACGCTGAGAAAAGGAAGAAGAAGAAGAAATATTTTTGGGACTCTCCATCTTTCCAGACGATAATCTCCAGTTGACTCATGCTTTTAGGGAGGCATGATAACTTTAGTCGCACGGTGATATCGAATGCGACTAGCAAGATACATACATCATCATCCTGTGTGTGCTGTTAGATGTCACATAGGGCTCGCATTCGACTCCACCACTCCGCTCTGTTGCATGCAACTTTCTCGATTCCACCACTCCGCTCTGTTGCATGCAACTTACTCGATTCCACCACTCCGGTCTGTTGCATGCAACTTTCTCGATTCCACCACTCCGCTCTGTTGCATGCAACTTTCTCGATTCCACCACTCTTCTCTGTTGCATGCAACTTACTCTATTCCACCACTCTGCTCTGTTGCATGCAACTTTCTCAATTCCACCACTCTGCTCTGTTGCATGCAACTTTCTCGATTCCACCACTCCGCTTTGTTGCATGCAACTTTCTCGATTCCACCACTCCGCTCTGTTGCATGCAAC